TAATTTATTAATTTAACAATTTTCTGATTGCTTATTTTTTTAATTTTGACCAAAAGGCTGTCTTGTGTCTTTTTTAAAGTTAAATTCTCAATTATTCCTTATTTTTTTAGATGCACCGTGTGTCCTTACAGGAGTAGAATGGCACACAATACAAGACGACATATCCGCTATGTACATCTTCACTACTCTGAGAATGTACAGTGCGGTGTCTGCTTAAAGAATTTTACGCGGCAAGCCAACTATAGAGAACATATGAGAAGTGTACATGCTGATTTTAGCTTTTCGTCCTAATGGAGAAATATGCTCAACTTTTTGTAATAAATAAATAAATCAACTTAAATGACAGTTTATTTAAATCAGGTTCAAAAATATAACAGCCATAGTAAATGATGGCTACTCTTGTTTTGTCCACAGAACAATAAATAGAAGTTTTTTTTAAAGTTTTAAATCATTTGGCATTACTAAAGTTTAAGTCGCATATTTAAAGTATTATTACTTGCAGTTGCAGATACCCCTTAGAACAGTGTATTGTGATAATTTGAACTGAAGAGTATCTTCAAATCCATTACGAGTAGAACAAAATTACACCATATTTATAAAAATGACTAACACTATAATATTGAAACAATAAATGTCAATTTTAAAATAATAACAAGGTGTGAGAATTAGTTTTTGATGATTCTTGATTTCATTTTAAAAATCATGACAGCATTCAGAAATCAAAATATTAATATCATTTGTTCTTACAATATAGATTTAACTAGAAATGCGGGAAACTGTTTGTTTAAAATGCTTGAAAATAAATCATCCATATATTCTCTAATTTAACAGATTAAATGTGGAAACACAGATTTTTGAAATAATTCATAAGATAATTTTTGTTTTCAGTGATTTATTTTGTAAGTTATGAAAGTGAGTTTTGTTTTGAATTGTGGATTATACTCAAAAACGGGAAAGTGGATTTTGTTCGAAAACGCGACAATGTTTCAAAGTCAGGATATGTTCGAAAATGTAAAACCTAATATTGTCTTGAAAACGGTCAAGATTTTTAATATAAAAAGAACTCCTTTTATATTTTTGATTTTAAAAAAGTATAAAATTGTGAATTGTTGTCCTCGTCATGTTTAATAAAATGTTGGTTATAGTTTTTATTATCGACTTTTACTCTGGATATGGGCCGGGATCCCGAAAGCCCAGTTTTTCAATTTGTGCGCATTTCTAACACTCGGTGTTAGACTGTTAGAAATGGGCCAAGTGTTAGTTTTGAAACTAATGTCCCCAGGATCTGTAGAATTTTGCTAATATTTAAACAATTTTAATCTTATTTAATAAATGGAAATAAGGCATGTTTGGATATGCCTGGACAGGGGAATTTTGGGATTATTCTTGTACAAGAAGGTGGACAAATAGGACACCCCTTTACAAAAATATATTTATCTGTCCTTTGTTTGTAATTCTTGTTTGTTTGTTTACTAGAATACCTGGCTGAAGATGAGTTGACCTGCAGGCTGTGTGGACGCGTGAGTAGCACAACATACAACGCGCTCAGACATGTTCGTTACGTGCACTCCGGGATTACAGAGCAGGCTTCTTGTAATATTTGCGGAAAAGTGTTCGGTAGAAAACAGGTTTTGGACCGACACATCAGAAATATTCATCAGTTGTGATTTTTAAGAGAGAACATATGGAATAAATAAATTATTAATTTATTATTTAACACCCTCCTGATATTGCTTCTATAGGACCCCCTCCTAATATTTCTTTTATAGGACCCCTATTAAATTTTGGGTTTATGACGTTACAGATATCCAGATCTTGGGTTTAATTAGCTACGATATCCAGATCTTGGGGTTATTAAGTTACAGATATCCAAATCATATTATTTTTATTTTTAGTATTATTGTTATTGTTATTGTTATTGTTATTGTTATTGTTATTGTTATAGTTATTGCTATTTTTATTGTTATTGTTATTGTTATTTTTATTGTTATTGTTATTGTTATTGTTATTGTTATTGTTATTGTTATTGTTATTGTTATTGTTATTGTTATTGTTATTGTTTTTGTTATTGTTATTGTTTTTGTTATTTTTATTGTTATCGTTATTTTTTTTGTCATTGTTATTGTTATTGTTATTGTTATTGTTATTGTTATTGTTATTGTTATTGTTATTGCTAAACTGCCTCAAATTCTTATTCATCAGTCAACCCTGACTGTCATATCAGCTTAACAGTCACTAAATCTAACTAACAGCCTACCCAGGCTAAATCTGTCCGTACTGAACAAAGGTTTGTATTCAACTAATTTATGGATAACATGGTTATAGATAGACTGGTATGACAGGACAGGTTACAAAACTAAAATCATAGATTACAGTAGATAAACAAGTAAACAGCTGGTCCCAGGTTCGCTACAGTTATAATTATTATTATCATTATAATCATTATTATTTTTATTATTCTTATTACCAGGCTTTTCTATTAGCAAATTTAGTGGTTAATGATTGCGCTTCGATGGTCGCCATTTTTACTTTGTAACTGTAAATTTAAATTTGTCGCAGATTTTTCTGTTTTAATGATGTACTTTTTAAAAAGTGCTCCTAGTACAGTGTCCCATACATGGAAATTTAGTGACGAACGAATTCAATATTGTCTATTAGAATAATTCTTTGATTTAGTAGTGATACCTACTGAGAAATATGTAATCCGTAAGATTTTCGTCTGCTATGTTTACAATTTGTTTGTTTATATTTTTACTGCATATGGTTGTACCAGCGGGGGAAGGCAGGCGGCCATGAGCCACCACTATAATTTCCTCTTCCGGGCCACATATTAGCTTTTTTCTCTTCCGGCAGCCATGAGCCACCACAATTTCCTCTTCCGTACCACCACATTTGACTCTTCCGGGCAAAACATTTTTTTTAAATGGTACGTATTTAGGGCCTTTAAAGTGTGATTTTGAATAATCCAGCCGCGTCACGCAAAAAAGAACAACTCAAACCATTTTTTCAATTTTACATAAGATTATTTTATTTATATGTAAGGAGAGGTCGTTTGTTTTAGATTTTAGAAGGTAAAATAAGTAATTTTTGCCAAATTTCTGTTAACTATAACAAAGTTACCCACAAAGGTTGAGAATTTCATGTTCATGGTTTTCTGAATTTGTAAATAAATTTGTTTCTTTTTTGCTATATATATATATATATATATATATATATATATATATATATATATATATATATATATATATATATATGCCAACAAAGCAACCTATATTTAACCTCCAGGGCGCTATATTTAAAGAGTTTGAGGTCGTCATTGAAGTCTCGAAGCCATTATGGGTAACCCTGTATGATAATTATTGAACTTTTTCAGACAATATATTTGGAATTTGTATTCTGTGTAAACCTGTATATGATACAGGGTTACCCACAATGGATGAGACGTCGGAGACGATTGAATTTTATTAGTCCGTTTTCTTTTATTCAGGGTTCCTTCTAGGCCAAGAGTTTTGGGTCGTCTTTACAGTCTCATCCATTGTGGGTAACCCGGGACATTGTGGAAATCCAATTTTCTTTCTTAAAACTATTTACAGACATTGCAGGATCAGGCCGAGTTCGAAGAGCTGCCAGACCAAAGCCTTTTAGGTCTGATGATTTGTGTAGCCCTTAACAATAAGTATTCAAAAACTGTAAACCTCTTGTTTTTATTGTGTTAAGTTGTGAAGGTGTAAACTGCAATCAACGAAATATATTTGCGCGTCAGTTTGTGAATACTTTTGCAGAGAGCGTAGACGGTACAAATCGGAAACTATTGCGCATTAAGTTCAACCAAAATTTACGGGCAGTTGCCCAAGGAAGTTACGTGCACTTGCCGCGTTGAATTACAAGAAAGAGAGACAAGTTTTTATTTTAGGGTTAGGGGTGGTTATGACACTTTCAGGGCCGAGCGCCGCGGTTAGTACAGAATCTCTCTCTCTCCGTCTTGTAATTCAACGCGGCATGTGCACGTAACTTCCTTGGGCTTCGTGCCTTCAGCGCTAAATTCAAGAATCGTTCATCTTTCTGTTTACAACAAAAAAAATTTAAAAGTAATTAATTTATTTGTAATTTGCCAAATAAAAAATCGATCAATCCTTAATCTAATTTTAATGATATTAATATGCTTTTTAAATTGTAATAATTTATATTTTTGGACAAGATACTTTTGCATATTATAGAAAACTATTTAAAAATAATTAATGGAGTTTTGTGTATTTACTAGCTTGGGAACCAGGCGCTGCACATTTTACTCATAATTACTTTCGCCGTTCACCCGCACTTAGTCGTAAATTACGATGTTATAGCCATTTTTCCCTATAAAAGTCGACCCACTCGCATTTCAACCTAAGATCTCAAAGCCAAACTAAAACATTTCCCATGGTTCTCCTGCGTTCCCCAATAAAGATTCGAGGGAAATCGGTCCAGGGGTTCCTGAGTTATGATCAGACAGACAATTAAACAGAGATTACAACTTGATAAAGATAAAGAATTGCAAAGGTGACTATGCCAATAAAACCTTTAATAAACGTTAAAGATTCCGTGATTCAAGAATTGTACCATACATCTTAACCTTTAAATATTCAGAAATAATAATTATTGCCAATTTCGGAAGCTTAGATCCTTGGGTGGGGAGGGGGGGGGGCAAGCTTTCTAAGGCCCATAAAAAATCTCGAATATCAATTACGTATAGTTCGAGGGTTAATTTCTTATCTTTTATTTTTAATTGTAAAGTATCTTTGTGTGAAGATGAACAGGTTTCAATCTCTACCTGGCCCTAGCGTACTATCAGGCTAGAAACAAGGCAGTAGTGCATATATACACTTCAAACCAACATCAAGCATTCATCTGTGTTTTGTTATTCACATTTTTAAATAAACTTGTTCTTCTATTTTCAACATGATTGCGAATCTATAGTGCATGTATTCGTTCAGAGGCATTTGTAGAAACATATTCAGTTCTTAAAAATATATTTTTTTAGATTACAATGAATGTTTTTAGTTATTAATATTATGAAAACAGAATCTTTATAGAACAATAAAACTGAACCCCATCGCGTAGATCATCTGCAGTCATCTTCCACGGTATGGTAATATTAAGCAATAGTTCACTTAAGGCATAAAGTGATTCACAAAAATGCACAAATTGAATTTAAGTTTTTAATGTAAGAAAAAACGTTTTTACAAATCTGATTAAATGTAAAAAAATCCAACTTTAAAAGCTTATTCAAAGGCCAGCACACTCCTGTATGCCAAGTCCATTAGCGCCTGATCCAATCAGGGTTCAGTCATGTGTTTGTTGTCTAGAAATAGTATAGCGGTAAAAATCTATCTTTCTATCTATCTCATTATCCAATTAGAATTATGAATCCTTCAATCGGCGCTATCAGTAAATGAAAATATTTTCTTCTACTGAAGCATAAAGTGAACATCAAACTATCAATTTGTAAAAAGAACAGTGATTTAAGATAAGAAAATAAATGAATGCAAATATATTAACTGAATTAAATAAAAAAGTGTTCATGTCTAATCAACTTAAAAGACAAATATTTCCTTGGGGGTCATTTCTTATTTAATAATCACTTTTTTCTGTTTTTGATTTTTAGAATCTCACAAACTTTCTATTCATTTAGTATCTAAGTTTAATTTTTTAATTCTTTTAAATTATTAGTTCGGGTATTCTGAGCCCGCTATTTAAAAATATCGGGAAAATACGGCTTGGGTCAGCTGTCATTTTGCCTTATTTACGGCTCGAGCTTTCGGATTCAAGCTTTCTTATTTTCCACAGAGTTGAGTTCAAAAAACCGGTTAAATATTCTATTTTGGCGGATTTTCATGGCAGAAATTGACGCATTCCGGGGTTTTAAAAGAACAATACTCAACATTGAGCCTTATTCTCCACTAAAACCAACCAAGGTCGGCTTTTTTTCATTGGGCCTAACTCCTTATGTCGAGCCGAAGATCTTGCAGCTGTCAATCACGTGACACAGGTCTTAAAGTCGGGTTTAAGGAATTACGGCTCGAGCCGAAGTTTTTAAATCGCGGGCTCTGAATTAATTTTTTAAATCGTTTTATTAATTTTTTAAAATCATATAATGACGTTTTTTAAACGTGTCTAAACTTTCTAGTAAAACATCTCCGTGGTTCTTAATGTGTTTCCAATATTTGAGGCTGATCAGTCACATACATTACAAAAAATATTGAATTATAAAGATCATATAAAATGCAATGTTGCTCGATATTTTTCCTATATTCTATTATTATTATTACTTTTATTATCCCATTTATGTACTCAATTTCTGTATGATAGCCTTAATGGATAATATTTTTAGAATAAACTGGAATAAACTAGTAAACTGCTCAATTATTAACTGGAATAAACTTGTAAACTGTTTAATTATTTGTGTTCTTTTTCTTCCTAATCCTATGACATTTGATTTATACAACTTAATAATAAAGTGCAATGTAAACAATAATATCTATATCACGTATAGACGTCACATATTGTTAAAAGGTATAACCGTATAATTGATTAGAAATACAAATAAAGTGTATTATTAGCAGTTTAATATGCAACACAAGTTTTATAACTTAATACCGATTACCGTTGCAACTACGTACTGAACTACTACTACTATAATGTTATACTCAACTATAACTACTATAACATTTTGAACGACTATACTACTACGTACTGTGCTACTACTACTACTACTACTACTTACTAAATTACTACTACTACTACTACTTATTAAACTACTACAACTTCTATAATGTACTGAACGACTACTATAATATACTGAACTACTAAACTACTACATACTGAACTATTACTACTACTATAATGTACTGAACTACTACTATAACATACTGAACTACTATACTACTACGTACTGAGCTACTACTACTATAATGTTCTTAACTACTACTATAGCATACTGAACTACTACTTCTATACTAAACTACTACTACTACATTCTAAACTACTACTACTGCTACTAACTAAACTACTACTACTACTACCACGTACCGTAATACTAATACTACGTACTGAACTATAACTACTACTATAATGTACTGAACTACTATACTACTACATACTGAGCTACTACTAATATAATGAACCGAACTACTACCATAACTTACTAAACAACAATGCTACTGAAACTCACTGAAATACTACTTCTACTACTACTACGTACTGAACTACCACTACTACCACTTCCTAAACTACTACTTCTACTACTACTACTAGGTACTGAACTACTACTACTTCTGCTTACTAAACCAGTACTACTACTACTACGTACTAAACTACTACTACTTCTGCTTACTAAACTAATACTACTACTACTACTACGTTCTAAACTACTACTGCTTTTGTTTACTAAGTTACTAATACTACTACGTACTGAACTACATACTACGTTTTGAACTGCTACTACTACGTTCTGAACTGCTACTTATACTACACACTGAACTACTACTACTACTTGTACTAAACTACTGCTACTTACAGTACTACTACTACTACTACTTTTACAAAACTAATGCTACTTAACGTTCTGAAGTACTCGTCTACTGAATACGTTTTGAACTGCTACAAACTACGTACTGAACAACTACTAAACTACTTGTACTAAACTACTGCAACTTAACGTTGTGAAGTACTACTGCGACATACACTGAACTACTACTTCTGAATACTAAACTTTTACAATTGCCTATTACAAAGTTTTAGTTAGTGGATAAGCTCAAAAAGTTTTAAATGCTAATGAAAACGAAAATTACATCTTTTGTCTTTATGTTATTCATGTAATTGAATCATGTATGTCTAATTTAACTACGTATTTATGTAGTTGAATCATGTACGTCTAATTTAACTACGTATTCATGTAGTAGAATCCTGTACGTCTAATTTAAGTACGTATTCATGTAGTTGAATCATGTACGTCTAATTTGACTACGTTTTCATGTAATTGAATCATGTACGTCTAATTCAACTACCTATTCATGTAAATGAACCATGTACATCTAATTTAACTACGTTTTCATGTAGTTGAATCACATACGTCTAATTTAACTACGTATTCATGTAGTTGAATCATTTATCTCTAATTTAACTACGTATTCATGTAGTTGAATCATTTATCTCTAATTTAACTACGTATTCATGTAGTTGAATCATTTATCTCTAATTTAACTACGTATTCATGTAGTTGAATCATTTATCTCTAATTTAACTACGTATTCATGTAGTTGAATCATTTATCTCTAATTTAACTACGTATTCATGTAGTTGAATCATGCATCTCTAATTTAACTACGTTTTCATGTAGTTGAATCATGAACGACTAATTTAACTACATATTCATGTAGTTGAATCATGTATGTCTAATTTAACTACGTATTCATGTAGTTGAATCCTGTACGTCTAATTTAAGTACGTATTCATGTAGTTGAATCATGTATGTCTAATTTGACTACGTTTTCATGTAATTGAATCATGTACGTCTAATTTAACTACCTATTCATGTAAATGAACCATGTACGTCTAATTTAACTACGTTTTCATGTTATAGTTGAATCATTTATCTCTAATTTAACTACGTATTCATGTAGTTGAATCATGTACATCTAATTTAACTACGTATTCATGTAGTTGAATCATGCATCTCTAATTTAACTACGTTTTCATGTAGTTGAATCATGAACGAGTAATTTAACTACATATTCATGTAGTTGAATCATGTATGTCTAATTTAACTACGTATTCATGTAGTTGAATCATGTACGTCTAATTTAACTACGTATTCATGTAATTGAATCAGGTACGTCTAATTTAACTACGTATTCATTTAGTTGAATCATGTACGTCTAATTTAACTAATTATTCATGTAGTTGAATCATGTACGTCTATTTTAACTACTTTCATGTAGTTGAATCATGTAGGTCTAATTTAACTACGTATTCATGTAGTTGAATCATGTACGTCAAATTTTACTACGTATTTGAAGAAAAAAATTTGATGAAAAAATGTTATGGCATTTGGTTGGTTTACAATTTGAACAACTAATAATCAAAAGTTGGCACTGGTTTAAGCTGAACCACATTTATAAATTTCCACCTCAGATGAACGAGGATTATAAGCTGGAGTTTCTGGTTAGTCCTGAAACCAAGATTAAGTTCCGTCACGGGATCCATACTTACAGGTAGAGATGGGCTTAAATTCGATTTTTTTTCATTTCATTCGTTCATCGTTTGTGAGTGACACATTTCGTTAGTTTTTTTATCGTTCAAAAAAATTGATTTCGTTTAAAATTATCGTTCATTTTCCATCTATTTCGTTCGTTTTCTCACTGAACGATCGTTCAGTAAAATCGTTCGTTCAATAAAGTCGTTTGATCAGTAAAATTGTGTTCCAAAAATACGAAGGTTTATTTTTCAAAATGTTTTAAAAAGTTTGTTCGTTCAGTAAAAATCATAGTTTTTTCAAGTTCGTTCGAACGATTTTAAAAACGATCATTTTTTCATTTCTCTGGACGATTTATTTCGTTCGTTATTTTCTGAACGACTCCTTTTTCCAAGAAAAATTTCGTTCGTTAATAAAAACGACGCCCATCTCTACTTACAGGTGTCAAGACAACGAACTGCTTATCGGAAAGGTTAGTTTTTATAAAAATCGATTTTTGCCGATAACACCCCCAGGCTACCCATAAGTGTCCTCAAAAAAATGTCAACCCATTTGGTCCAGCCGTTTTTCCGGCCATAGGAAATATATATTTATGGGAACGTCTTGCTTTATTCTATACTAGCTGAAGGGCCCGACGTTGCCCATGGAATTTTTTTTTTAAAATAAATTTTTTAAAAATGTTGAAAATTTTACCCTATAANTAATAGGTTAATAGGTTAATAGGTTAATAGGTTAATAGGTTAATAGGTTAATAGGTTAATAGGTTAATAGGTTAATAGGTTAATAGGTTAATAGGTTAATAGGTTAATAGGTTAATAGGTTAATAGGTTAATAGGTTAATAGGTTAATAGGTTAATAGGTTAATAGGTTAATAGGTTAATAGGTTAATAGGTTAATAGGTTAATAGGTTAATAGGTTAATAGGTTAATAGGTTAATAGGTTAATAGGTTAATAGGTTAATAGGTTAATAGGTTAATAGGTTAATAGGTTAATAGGTTAATAGGTTAATAGGTTAATAGGTTAATAGGTTAATAGGTTAATAGGTTAATAGGTTAATAGGTTAATAGGTTAATAGGTTAATAGGTTAATAGGTTAATAGGTTAATAGGTTAATAGGTTAATAGGTTAATAGGTTAATAGGTTAATAGGTTAATAGGTTAATAGGTTAATAGGTTAATAGGTTAATAGGTTAATAGGTTAATAGGTTAATAGGTTAATAGGTTAATAGGTTAATAGGTTAATAGGTTAATAGGTTAATAGGTTAATAGGTTAATAGGTTAATAGGTTAATAGGTTAATAGGTTAATAGGTTAATAGGTTAATAGGTTAATAGGTTAATAGGTTAATAGGTTAATAGGTTAATAGGTTAATAGGTTAATAGGTTAATAGGTTAATAGGTTAATAGGTTAATAGGTTAATAGGTTAATAGGTTAATAGGTTAATAGGTTAATAGGTTAATAGGTTAATAGGTTAATAGGTTAATAGGTTAATAGGTTAATAGGTTAATAGGTTAATAGGTTAATAGGTTAATAGGTTAATAGGTTAATAGGTTAATAGGTTAATAGGTTAATAGGTTAATAGGTTAATAGGTTAATAGGTTAATAGGTTAATAGGTTAATAGGTTAATAGGTTAATAGGTTAATAGGTTAATAGGTTAATAGGTTAATAGGTTAATAGGTTAATAGGTTAATAGGTTAATAGGTTAATAGGTTAATAGGTTAATAGGTTAATAGGTTAATAGGTTAATAGGTTAATAGGTTAATAGGTTAATAGGTTAATAGGTTAATAGGTTAATAGGTTAATAGGTTAATAGGTTAATAGGTTAATAGGTTAATAGGTTAATTCTTTTAAATTATCTACATTTCTCTTTGTAGAATGTTTTCTCGACCCATGAAATAGTGTTTCCAACTGTAAAACTAAGTTCTAAGGATGGCTCCTATATACCTGAAACACAAGTCAGACTCAGGTATACCTCATCTTATGACTTTTCATTCCTATTTGACTAAATTAACATCAAAAATTAACATTTTGTCTTTTTAGTACTTTTTTTGTCGGCAGGTGTAAAGTAGAAGATATTTTTGAGTTACAGACCAAAACGCAATTGAAATGAAATTGAAGAAACCAACCAACCACCAAAAATTTTATGTTTTTAATCATAAATTTCTGTTATGTATATATTGTTAAATTTGCTTTTCAAATACTAGTTCGTAAATTCAAAACTATAGGAGCTACGAGGTCACAAATTCGTTCCAATGCTTTCGCATAAATTTGACCTTCTCCCTCTGATTGTTGCATGCATTGATTGTTTCCATAGATTAATTAACAATAACAGATAGAACACTAGATGTCATCTTTTCAAGATTTACGGGTTTCTCGTTTACAATAACCCATGAGGCAGACGCCCAAAGGAGCTGTGCGCATGCTGCATAGAATAACAAGAGAGAGAGAAAGAGCCTGTTCTACGCCGACTGCGCCTCGGTAGTCTGCCTCAGGGTTATTGTCAACGAAAAACACATAAATCTTGAAAAGACGACATCTAGTGTCTTATATGTTCCTCTAATTAATCTATGGTTTCTATATAGTCTAGTGGATGTGAGATCAACGCCTGATAATGTAAAGGAGCACTACCATAAATTGATTGAATGCAAAGATTGTAAACGTCCCGGATTATCATGGAATATTACCAAGGTGAGATTTATTGGCAGAGGCCCAAAGGAGTTACGCAGGCTTGCCGCGTTAAATTACAAGACAGAGAGAGAGCCTGCTCTAACCGCGACGCTCGGCCCCCTAGCATGTCCTAGCCGCAGCGCTCGGCCCAGAAAGTGTCTTAAACTTAACCTAACCTAACCCTGAATTATGTACTAATCTCTCTCTTTCTTGAAATTCAACGCGGCAAGCCCGCGTAACTCCATTAGGCAAATGCCAGATTAATTTACACTCATCTAGTAAACATATTTATGACGTCAGTGAAATCAGAATTAAAGGGACTGTGAGCGTTATTTCAAGTAGGCCTTACTTTTGTCTAATTGTGTTTATAGGACCGTACATCGGTGTAAAGATCTCAGAATTTCTAAGTTTAAAAGATACGTTGATTGTGTATTATGAAAATCTTAACAAAATAATTTGTCGAATATTAAAATACTTTTTCAAAACAATGGCTTTAAAAATTTGGACAAAAACCTTTCTTTGCATTCCGGAGAGTAAATCATAATATTTTAAATAATAAAACAAGATTTTACAATAACAAGCGTTTCTGCCATAGAGAATAGAATATGTATTAGAGGGGAATTTAAAGAATCTCTCGGTATGAATTTTTTCAGTCCCTTTCAGCCTGAAAGGGAGTTCAAAGTGTACAAATCATGTAAATGTTCACAAATTATATGCAGTAGAGTACATTAATACAGTATGTTCCCTAGACTATTCATTTCAATTTCGAATTTTTAAACTGCTATATAAACTTTATAGTGAATTAGGTGAATAAAAAACATCATTTGATTTACAGTTATAACGGAAAATCATCGTATGTAAAGTAAAAGGCATAGAGTCTATGTGAAATGATCATTGGTCAATTATGAAACCAGCCTATTTCATAATTTGGTTTTCTTTTAACATTAATTTTAGATTTTCTATATAATGATATTCCAGGGCCCAAAAGGTTATATAGCATAAATATGTGAAGTACACCTGCAATATGGAAACAGTACAATAAAATGGCCGTTTTACACTTTTTTCTAGTAAATTCCCCTCTAATATATATTCTATTCTCTATGGTTTCTGCGTAGGTACTAAATTTTTAGCTTGAAAAACAGGATATATTTCTTCGTCCTTATTTATCAGTATCAGACAAAGGTTCAAAGGGTTCCACTCTGACTCATACATGCCACCCTATAACTTGGGTCTACAATTCCTTCAAATCGAACATTTATTTGATTGAACTTGCCAGTGATCGAACCTATATATAATCCTTAATATTTTAGGTTCTGCAGTCAGGATCAAATATTGTGACGTTTGATAATCTTGGTATAGTTAGAACCAAGGGACCAGACCAGATACAGGCTGTATCAGAACGCCTGCTAGAAAGAAGGTAGAATCTATATATTAATATATAGCACTAGGCTTCTTGGGCGCTTCGCGCCAATCTTTGTTTTTAACTTTTAACTGTAGCTCTTTTATCGACTTTTTTTTGTGGATTTTGATCACCCTTACATCTTCCATAGGGTTTGGGATCGATCGGTTTAGCCGTTTTAACATTTATTGGATACAAGCAAACAAGCAAACAAACAGACAAACAAAGTATATAATTAGAAGATGCTCTCTAGCTTCTAGCGAAGTAGTTTAACTATAAGTACGGTATAAATGAACCAGCCTAGGGAAGTAGTTTAACTAGCCAAACCTAGTTAAACTACTATGAATCTAGATCTCGGGTCATTTTCACTGTGCTGTACAAAATCTGGATAATCGATTATTCTTTGATAAATCAAGAATTATTTTTTAAAACACCTCAATCAATCAATTGCCCTTCTGAGGTGGATATTTTTAAACGAGACTGAAATAGTTGAACCTGATACACCAGTTCAACCACTCCTCGGCGTAGACCATCAAGATGTCTTTTATCCTAAATTTAAAACTTTGTTTTTTCACCAAAACTAAAGGACTCGTTTCCTTTTTCTTAGTTTTCTTCTTATCAGTTACCTTTGCTCTTCGAACATAATTCAATAAAAACCTGATTTTTTAATCTTTGATGTTTCAAACATAGATTATTTGATCTAACAGAATTTATAGTTTGAAATGTCTAAGTTCTACAACATTGCGTTGGAAAGATATAGGGATTAGGAAATCAGAGTTTATGACAAAGACTCAATTCATTTTCCTTTTATTTACAAAAAAAGGCAATTAAAAATATCAAGTTTTGTTTGTTTAGACGAGAGTGTGGAGACACTGTATCAGGAACCTGGGATATGAATAGAATACGAGATCTTGCAGCAGATTCAGTTCTAGAGGTTACTTTCTTATTATTAACTAGCTCAAGTTCCCGCCGTTGCCCTTGGAATTTAAAAAAATCGAATTAAAAAAATTTGATTTAAAAAAAAAATTGAAGTTTTTATTAGCCTATGTTAATCCCAGTGTACCCATGAGTTTCCTCAAAAAAAATTCAGTCAGTTTGGTCCAGCCGATTACATTCTTGTTCTTCTCAGCTGGGAACTCATAATCCCGATCTTGATATCCACTGTGAGCACTTTTAATTTGAGGATGTGAAAAAAAACTATATGTTGTATTATTAGTTATTCCTCTCCTGATCAAAGCTCCCTTCAACCCCTGTCTGTCATTTGGAATATCAAATAAAGATTGAATTGAAGATTAACAAGAAATCGAGATTAAGCTTTGATCTTGAAATCCACAATACAATACAATTAAATCATCCATAAACTTTCCCTGGAGTCACGCGAGGTCCCAAACAAATTTTTTTTGGCCCGATCGGTTCAGCCGTTTTGACGTTTATTGTTATACAAAAGGACAGACAGACAAGCAAAGCATATGTACAGAAAGAAGAAGCTCTTCGCTCATATATATATTTATATATATGTTTCAACTGATATATTTATATATATATATATATATGTTAGCTATAGCTGGCCAAACGGCTGGACCGAATAGGCTGAATTTTTTTTAGGAAATCCATGGGTATCCCTGGTGGTAACATAGGTTAAAAAATCGAATTTATTTTCCTTAAAAAATAATTAATAATTTTTTTCAAAATAAGATTTTTTAATTCCACGGTTAACGCCGGGCACTTCCGGCTTTCAGCTGGTATTTCATAATTAAAAGAAGAAGGAAGACGGCGAGAATTCCACTGTTTTGTGATTCTCACTGTAATATCCCGGTCTGATGAATACACTTATGGTTGAAATGGCGCTTAGCCTCATCGACTGATTTTGTTACCCACAAAGGATGAGACTTAATAAAGATGAGTTGAAATTCTTAAAATATGACGATCTCAAGGTTAAATAAAGTCGTCTGCCTTGGAAGTGGCTTGATTAATGATTTGGCGAAGAAAAAACAAGTTTACAGAATCAGAAATATAAGGAAACATACATTTGCCACAGTCGTCTCTGATTTCTCATCCTTTGTTGAGTAACGTTATTTCCTCTGCCATTTCTTTCTTAAACCTCTGCTCCATAATATCTCATTTTTTCCTTTTCCCTTTTAGTTTTCCTCGCTCTTTCCCCTATTCCCCCCGCCCGATTCCCTACCCCGGAAGAAAATAAAGATTTGTATCTATAACGTTATTTAACCAAATATTTCGAAACGTTCCATTACAAACTTTTTTATTTCTTGAAAGGAGCTTTGCCACAAACGCTGATTTTCTAATCTTTTATATCTTCGGAACGGAACCCAATGACGTAAACCTTAGATATTTCAAACAATGCATTTTATGAGATCAAATGACATAAGTTTGAAATATAAAAGGTTTACACCATAAGATTGCAAAGATAAGGATTAAGAAAAACTTATTTCAGACAAGTGACAAGGAGTTAAGACTGTGTATAGAAGCGTATGTATTTCAAGAAGACGGTGGGTTTTATTTGAAATATTTTTATTTTCAATAAAATCGATAGAACACTAGATGTCGTCTTTTCAAAATTTAGGGGTCGATCGTTCACAATAACCCGGAGTCAGAAGCCCAAAGAAGTAAGAACTGACCTCAGGGTTATTGTGAACAAAAAACCCCTAAATGTTGAAAAGATAGTGTTCTATCTGTATTGTTATTAATCTATGCAATTAACTATGGAACTCATGGAACAGGAAGACAATTTTTAGACTGAAGTTTGAATTTTAAATATTCCAATGAACATGCAGTGTGCAGTGTAAAAATAATTTATTTTTACGCTACTTGTAAAACTATTTATGTTGTAACTTGATGCATCAAATAGATTTAAAAATTAATTTAATGTTGTCTTCTATATTTTCTGGATCTCATTTCAGTTTATAAACAGTGATTTCTCTTTAAACCTCAAATTATAAAGGTTTCATCGTTGGAATTAATTTGCACACTTTTATGGGTTTAATTGTTAATATTTCAATGTTGTTTTCATGATATTTTATGGTTTTATTTTATACCTATGGTTTTCACCTGTGTATTCAGAAAGTATACTCTATCTTTATAATCCATGGTTTACTCTTGTGTGTTCAGGAAGAATACTCTATCTCTATAATCTATGATTTACTCCTGTGTATTCCTGAAGTATACTCTTTAGTCTTTATCTATAATCTATGGTTTACTCTTAAGTGTATATATGTGTGTTCTGGAAGTATACTCTATATCTATGTGTTCAAAGTATACTCTATACCTGTGTGTTCAGGAAGTATATTCTATATCTGTGTGTTCAGGAAGTATACCCTATACCTGTGTGTTCAGAAAGTATACTTTATATCTGTGTGTTCAGGAAGTATACTCTATACCTGTGTGTTCAAAAAGTATACTCTATATCTGTGTTTTCAGGAAGTATACTTTATATCTGTGTGTTCAGGAAGTATACTCTACCTGTGTGTTCAGGAAGTATACTCTATATCTGTGTGTTCAGAAAATATACTCTATATCTGTGTGTTCAGGAAGTATACTCTTTACCTGTGTGTTCAGAAAGTATACTCTATATCTGTGTGTTCAGGAAGTATACTCTATATCTGTTTGTTCAAGAAGTATACTCTATATATGTGTGTTCATGAAGTATACTCTATACCTGTTTGTTCATTAAGTATACTCTATACCTGTGTGTTCAGGACATATACTCTATACCTGTTTGTTCAGAAAGTATACTCTATACCTGTGAGTTTAGGAAGTATACTCTATACCTGTGTGTTTAGGAAGTATACTGGAGCTAGCCCGGATATTGAGCTCTATAGTCCAGGATATGACGGATGCTAACGGATCTATAACAATCAGAAAGAGAAATATATGTTCTGATTCTGTCAGGTTAGGAGACATGAATTAAACTGTTTATTAATTACTTAGATATTACAATCTATATTCTTCTACTTATCCCAAATTATAGATTATTAATTACAATAGGTGGCAACAGAGAAATGGACCAATTATACATGACGTCACACGTGTCAAATATAACAAGAAAAACGAAATTTTTTCGCATTAGTCGACATGCTTTCCAAGATTAAATAAATAAGTGGAAAAAAACAGAAAATAAAGAACACATAAAATTGCAATTATTTTACTATAAGATAAGCACTTTATTCTAAAATAATCACTATTAGTTATAATTTTTTCTGACACAAAAACTAAGTTGACACTTGTGACGTAAGATAACAGCTGTACTGAGAGTGTGCAAATTCTTCGTTGCCATCTATTGTACTAGAATCTATTTTACTTATCCCACTTTCACTGCTGTTTAATTTCTTTTTCTCCAATACTTCCTATTTCTCCAAATTCATTCTTTTCCTTCATTTTTTCCTCCCCCCGTTCCTTCCTATTCCTCCTAATTTTCTAAATCCCCCAGTTCCTTCCTATTTCTCCTAATTTTCTAAATCCCACAGTTCCTTCCTATTTCTCCTAATTTTCTAAATCCCCCAGATCCTTCCTATTTCTCCTAATCATCTAAATCCCCCTGTTCCTTCCTATTTCTCCTAATTTTCTAAATCCCCCTGTTCCTTCCTATTTCTCCTAATTTTCTAAATCCCCCTGTTCCTTCCTATTTCTCCAAATCATCTAATTCCCCCTGTTCCTTCCTATTCCTTCCTAATCATCTAAATCCCCCAGATCCTTCCTATTTCTCCTAATTTTCTAAATCCCCCCGTTCGTTCCTATTCTTCCTAATTTTCTAAATCCCTCCGTTCCATCCTATTTCTCCTAATTTTCTAAATCCCCCAGTTCCTTCCTATGTCTCCTAATTTTATATATTTGACATTTAATCTTTATCTTAAACTTAAACCTGCCTCAAATCTCAATTGGTAGTTTTAGTTTTCATTTTGAATAATAAGATTCTTGTTCTAGGATGAGTCCACGGAGCTGGTTTGGAAGAAAAGAATATTTATCACTGAAGATCAGCTGCATAAAGTGAACACTAATTGTGCTGGGATGCATCTCAAGGTTCCTGTCTACGACATGGGGAAGAGTAAGAATGTTCCTGCTGATATCTCCGAACCTACGCAGAACACGTTCTTTAAGATAGAGAAAACCAAGGTTGGAGGAGGAGCGGTGGTTGCGGAGAGTTCCCGTCTTGCCTTTCAGTTCAATCCTCTTCCTGATCTTCTCCGTTCTAGGTATTACAGAGTTAACCTAGATATTAGTCTTATCAAATTTCTTTAATAGCGTTTAGCAGACAAAAGTCACATTTTAAAAAGAACAGACCGGCTATGTAAGGTAATTGAACTGACTACGCAGTGTTGTGGAAAGCTTCTTTAGGATTCATTTGAGACATATAAAACTTTTTAAAGATATGTAAATCCTGAGTTTGAGCGCAAATTCGACGTTAAAAACTCCTACTTTGGGGGTAAATACGTTTTCAGAATCGTTTTTTTTTAAATATTAATTAACGACGACGAAAAACAAAGTAAAAATTATACAGTAATCTAATTAGATGGTTAGGAACATATTTCTCAAAAGAAATTTGTCAATATATCAATGCTAAAATCAATTATTTCGTTTTCATCATAATATTGAATTTTTTATTTTCTTTGAATTTCTTCGCAGATTTCTTCAAATGTCGTCTTTTCAATAATAATTCCAGAATTCTGCAGAAAATTTTTGTGAATAATGAGAAACCAGAATAATGGGAAAATAGAAACTAATAATTGAACAAGATTACTTATTTTCGATGATAAGATTAATTTTTATTTTCTCAACCCCTGTTCCTAAACAACTAATTAGTTTAGTGTAGAATTGTTTTTACATTTTATGTCGTCTTATTTAATAATGTAAAAAAATAATTCTGAAAACGTATCCACACCCAAAGTAGGAGTTTTGAATGTCAAATTTTCGCTCAAACTTAGGATTTACAGATCTTTAAAAATTTTAATATGTCTCAAATGGATCCTAAAGAAGCTTTCCACAACACTGCATACTCAGTTCAACTACCGTACATAGCCGGTCTGTCCCTTTAAGTTGGAATGAGGGTAGGAAGGAATATAGATAAAAACCCCATTTCCCAAAATTTGGTCAAAAATATAGATGTTTTTGTTTAGAAAACGACCAAGGTTGGATGTTTTAGCTTTAGCTGAACCTAACCCTTCCTTCTCTCCTCCTAGACAAACCTTCTCTCCTCCTAAACAAACCTTCTCTCCTCCGAGACAAATCCCCAGCACTGCAACATACGACAACAGAACAACTATATTCGCTAGAAGAGCAGAACCTCTTGTACCCTCCTTAAATATAACCCCAGCCTCTCCCAACCAACTTGTAGGTTCTCCAACTAGAATTCCAACCTCTAGAAATCTTGCCACAGCCTCTCATAATGTATTCGGAATTTCTCCCCTAAGATCAGCAGCCTCTAGTATGGACTCAACCTCGTCGTTCTCCTGGAATATACCCTCCCAGCCTCAGCTACCTGTAATCCTGGAAACCCAACAGCCTCACCACCAGCCTCTACCAGATTTCCACAATATATCTCCTCATCAACCTCCACCCTTCTCCTCATCCCCACGCTCTCTAGTTGTAGAGCCAAGGATCATACCCGGAGCCTCTTCTCCGTCCTTACTTAGCCTTCAATCCTACTCTTCCATGCACCAAGCTTCTCCGGAAACCCATGAATCCATATTCTCACAACCACATACGTCTCAAACCTCTCTTTCTTCAGCATCTGAAGCATATTTAACAATGACCTACCTAGATACGTTCTCAAACTTTGATCCAACCTCAGATCTACATGATATTGACACCAGGTTGGTTTATTTATAAAGGAATTGAGTCTTTGCCACAATCTCAAATTTTCGAATTCCTATATATTTGCAACTCTTTGATATTTCAAACTTAGATGATTGAATCTAACAGAATTCATAGTTTGAAATATCTAAAGTCTACGACATTGGGTTTCAAAGATAAAAGGATTAGAAAATCAAAGTTTGTGGCAAAGACTCAATTCCATCAGACAATTTTAAACATTTTGTATACTTTTCTTTTCCTAAATTTTGTAAGGGGATTAGAGCCAAAAATGTGAGAAGAATTTTCTCTTCTACTAGTTATAGAAACATCAAATAAATCAAAAACAGATAATAAAGATGAACTCTTGATTTAGCAATATTTTGTTGAATATTCCTGAACACTTTCTTTATTTAGTGCGATTTCAAGATTCCAAGATGTAGATGTAAACACCTTTCTCAGCGTTCAGACAGACTCTGTGGGATCCCAAAATAAAGTCTCAAAAAACAAACAGGAAGAAACAAAAAACACGAGAAAGAAAACCGAATCATTAAAAAAGGTAAAGGAGGACGAAATAATGCCGAGGAGGAGTTCTAGAAAACCAGCAAATCCTGAATTGTAAATAGACGGATGAAAGAAGAGAAATAAGAAATAAGTCAGACAATAATAAAATCAAAATAAATATCCGTTCTATCCGTTCGGTTCAACAACTGTGATGATAAGATTGCAAAGAGCATTTTATTATTTTATTCAAAAATAAATTCAAGTACAAATTTCATTATGTATCATATATCTTACTTTAAGTATTGTGATATATGACTACTTTAAAATATGAATATATGAATATATAATTTTTCATCTTTGAATTAGTTCATGTAGGAAGGTTACTTGTGCAATCCATTAACTTCTTATTAGATTGCGGAAAAGTTTTTTTTTTGCACAGTCATAATCGAAAAGACCCGGAATTAATTATCAGCTAATCAGGCGGTTTTACATATATATCGCTGGTAATTTTAAATGCTCGAAAAAGGCAGACCACATTTGGGAAATGGCAAGACTATAGCGCTATTTGTGATTATCGTTTCGTCCATCATGTTTGTAAAATTAGATTGTAAAGTCGTCTCATTTATTTTAAATTAATTCCGGGTCTTTTGTATGCCGAGTCCATTAGCGCCTGATCCAATCAGGGTTCAGTCATGTGTTTGGTGTCTATTCTGAACCAATAGAAATTGCATGGCGGTAAAATCTATCGGCGCTATACACTAAATGGAAATATTTACTTCTACTGAAACTATAGTGTTTGATTAGGGCTGTACTTAAATTCATTGAAAATTTATCATCAAGCATATATTTTTGAAACCAACAAAGGAAATTCTTGAACTTTTTCTGTTTTTGTAAAGTTCATGGGAATGTCGTTTTTATTTTAAATGATCCTTTTTTTCACATTCATTTTTGATTTGACAGATTTGAAGGGTATCGTTGTAAATCCGACATTCCACTCTATGTTGAGGGACACTTGAAATCAGAGGCGTATTCAGGGGGGGCTAAGCCCCCCCCCCCTGGACCAGTATCTTTCGATTTCAGGGGGTTTTTAGTCCCCAGCGGGTGCTGAGTCCCTCCCCCTTGAAAGAAATAATTTAAGCCCCCCCCCTGGACCAATTCCTGAATACGCCCCTGGTTGAAATTATGTTTTCATTATTTTAAGTTGAAACATATTTTTCACGCAAACATTTTCGGTCAAGTCAGGTTTCCAAAACTAAAATATTTTTGGATCCAAAATCATAATTTTATTTTTTTATTTCCTTCACATAATTTCCAGTATACAACTATGTTTTTTTTCTGAAAGTTTTTATTTATCAGTTAGGATTTTTTCAAATTGTTTAATTTAGAGTTTAGACTAACCGTCGAGAATAACTGATTTCAATAATATTACATTTTGCTTATGTCGGCTTGACAAGTAACATTTAAAAAGTAAAATGTTGACTGTGAAAAGGGACGTGAAGCCTAGTATATATCAAGGTACTAATGCAAGGAAAGTTGCAGTTCCGTAAACTCTGCGTACATATTGAAACCAGTTCTATCTGGGCTGAATTTGTAAACTAGAATAGATGCATTAGTGTTCGTTTAGTATCCGAGGAGGTTAAAAGCATTTAATTTTGATAATTTTGATAATTCACATAATAGTTTCCTATGACCAGAATATTTCATAGATTATTTTTGTGAAAATGGATTCCGTTTAGTGTTTACTTCTCCGCCCAAAGACAGTACACTGCTGTACAAAACATGTGTACACCTCTGAAATAACTTTCCTTGCATTAGTACCTTGGTATATATCATCTTTGTTTGCTTTGCCCTTTTCTTTGTTTGTTTGTATTCAATAAAAACTGCGTAACTTATTAGGCTCAAGTTTTTGTGCTACCTTAAAGGGAGTGTTCGCGAAAAATGAAAGGGGGTATAGGCTGTATGCGATAAAAAATCGCTTTTGATCGCTACTAATCTTACTTCTATCTGTTGCGTATAAGGAGAACATTGATAAAGACGTCTCATACCGAAGAGCGTAGCGCCCATACAAATTTAGGAAGTTGGGACATACGACTTAGACCGTAAAAAATCAAATTAATATCAAACAAATCATTCAGATATTACAACCTATAGTCATCGATTAACTTTCCCCACATTTGTATATATTTAATATTTCATACTAGTTTTGATTTTGTTTTTAAAAATAATATTCAGCTTACAACTTGTTTTCGAACATTCCTGGAAAATATGAAAATGTCGTCGTCATCACCAAAAATCATCGAAACAGGAATAAATGTTTTTATAAGTAACTCTCAGATCATAACAATTAAAACATATTATGAAAAATCAAAAGTCACATGAACTATCTTTTGAAAGAAAGTTCTCATTTTCCTCTTTATTTGTAATGTAATTAAAGTCCACTGTAAAATAAAATGTACATCAGCTTGGTTTTCTCAGATGTTAGTAGTACATGATTTATTGATTTCAGGATATGTTGTAAGGAGGTTCATTAAAAACATATTCTTATTATTGAAATTTAAGTGATTTCAAGAGGAAATTCTTGAACGATAGCAATCAATGTATTTTTGTAGAATGTTTGTCTAATTTTACACCCATTTGTAACGTAAAAATAATTCTGCACGAAACCTGCCGATTAAGTATAAGTACCTTTTATTTACAGAGGCGCAACTAGGGGGCGGGCGGCCGGGCGCGCGCCCTCCCCTAGCACCTGAGAGGGCGGGGGGCCCCGCCCCCCTGCAGAATGAAAAGAAAGATTTGCGAATATCATTATCACAGGAGTCAGGAATAATAAAACCAAAAGAGATATTGTAGAAATTGTTTTCTTCTATGGTTTGTTTAAAAAAAATATTTTTATCTTTCTGAATTCTCAAGGCTAAAGGCTATTGTAAACATTTAATGTAAAAAAGTTCCGAACTGTATTCAAACTTTGAATTATTTTGGTAAAACTTTCTAAGTTTGAAATATCAAAGGTTTGCACCACTCCGTGCAAAGATTTAGAGATTAGAATATTTGAGTTTGTGGCAAAAACTCAGTTCCAAATCTAGAGAACATTCTGAGACTGAACCTGGCAAACTTCTAACTGATTATCATATTTGATAACTGTAACCTGTTTATCTTCTTTGAAAGAACTTCTATAAAATCGAAAATGAAATAAGATTATGAATGTTGGTTAGAATGATCAATCATAATTTCAATAACTTCAAGAGAAAACGTAACATTATCTGTCCTTTTTCAATGTAGATGATTAAAATTTTGATGTTTTTTTTTTTAAAGAATATATTAATGATTATTTCTTGTGATTATATCCTTAACTAAACAAGGTACTTAACAAATTTTCTTTGGCGCTCCGCGCACACATTAAAATCAGACTCATGTCGTTAATTTTACAGTTGTTGAAAGTATACATTTTTAAGAAACACAAGAAAAAAAACCGATTTGAATTAAACACAGACAAATTTGCATGCAATTACTGAAAAATTACTTTTTTTCGACATTAAACCCTTAAAAAGCACTTTTAGTTTGAACAAAATTTTCTTAAGGGGGGCAAGCCCCCCCCCACACAATTGCAAAATAATATTTTGCCCCCCCCCCTGGCAAAAGTACTAGTTGCGCCTCTGTTTATTTATGTCGTTAATTTGTAATAATCTAATATGCACATTCATGATAACTCTAAAAAGTATAAAATGTTATCTTAAAAATTATCCTGAAAAGGTTATAGTATACACATTGCCGTACTTTTATTGCATATAAGTTTTTTATAACTTATTAAGTTTTACAAGCTTTCCTGAAGACGTCGTAAAATTGAATCAGAGACTGTTTGATCCAAATAGGTTGTCAAGTACAATAGACGGCAACACAGAATGCGTACACTTTCAGTACAGCTGTTTAAACGTCATAAGTGTCAACTCAAATTTTCTGTCTGACAAAACTATAAATAAAAGTGATATTTCTAGACTACAAGGGTTATATTTTAGTGAAATTAGTGCAATTTTATATTTATTTATCTCCACGTATCTTGGAAATAATACCAACTAATTAGAGGACATGTCGTCTTTCTTTTTTCATTTGACACATATGACGTTGTGCGCAGTTGGTCGATTTTTCTGTTGCCATCTATTGTACTTGACAACCTATTTGGTTTGATCTAGAAGAAACCAACCTAAAGGGTATCTGAACTGATTAAATAAGTCTCATTGCTATTCAACTTCACCTACTCAGCTTGACCCAACCTAACCTATTGTTTAAGATCTTAAACAATTTTAGATCAGTCTCCTGTAGTTAGGATGCACAGACTAACAAAACTACGCATATGCTCTCCCAGAGCCCAAAACTTGACAGGATATCGTTAAAAAAAAAACAGTTTTAGAACCCGGGTTTCATAAATGGGGTTAGGCAGTTTTCTGGATATCAATACTTGTGTTATGAAATATTATTTTCTTTAGTTTCTTAATATTCTCTATTTTTTCCTAATCTTTTAAATCAAAATCTAGCAAATGTTTAGACCCCAAAAAGGAAAGTCGGGAGTTTCGTTTAACACGATACTCTTTTAAATTTCGGGCTCTGTATAGGCTGAACAGACCTCTAGTGTCCCGGCACGCCGTTCTAGAGTTACATGTGAGGTTTTTTGACTATCGCATAATAACCATTTTTACAACTTTAAAAAAAAAATACTCCAATTTTTAACATGGAACATACAATTTTATGAATTTAGTCTATTTTTGAATATCCCTGAATACAAATGTTTGTTGATTGGTTGCATGTTCAGTACAGTACTTGTACACAATAGAACCTGCTGTGGAAAATATTGCATAGGTTTTAATTGATCTCTGTTACTCTCTTATCTCTGGTCAGATGAGGTGGTTCCATTTTGTTTAAATACCATAGAAATATAGGAATATAGAAATATAGTAGAAAATATTTTTGAATTCCGTCATTATTAGATTATTCATACTATATAATACATCCTATTAAATCAGTTGGGAATTCCACAGTTGGGAATTCCAGGAATATTTTGCCTTGTAATTAACTAGGTTAACGGACAAAGATAATCTAGATGGAACAAAACATAGGTAGATGTTGTATTCGTTCATAGCATTAGTGGAACCAAATAGAACAAAAATTTAAAAATAAAAATTAGTTTAGTGTAAATATTTCTTGAATAATACGGCAATTTTTTTTGTCAAGATTGAAATTGATTTTCTTGCTAAATCTTGATTCATGCCCCTAGATCGTTAAAAAAGGGGGCCTATCATTTAAAACAACCACCCATGATTTAAAAGGTCCTAGCTAAATTAAAAATGTAAAAATAATGCACACATTTATCTTATATTCTGTTTAAAATATTTTCAAATACATCTCTCTCGATATTCATCCATCATTCTAATACAAGTATGGCATATCATGTGTCCTATCTCTGTAATACCTGTATGCATAAATCTTATCTAAATTCAATTTAAACAAATTTATAACATCTGTTATTTTATCAATCTATTTAGAACAAAACATCGGAATGTGCAAACATCAATTATTAATTAAGTAAATATATAAAAGTAAAATGTTTATTAAAAAAGTCATGATTTTATGAAATTTATACCACAAAGTCATGAAAATTCTGAAAGTTCATGTAGAGAGTGGTTTGTCAATTATAATCCTCATATCTTTGCAACCTTAAATTTAAACTATAAATTCTGATAGATTTAATTGTCATAGTTTTAAATATCATAGGTTACAATAAGGCTGCAAAGATATACACAATACAAAATTAAAGTTTGAGGCAAATATTTAATTTTATCACATTTATAGGCTATAGAACTGTCACAATCAAGAAATGGTTTAAAGGGAGTGTCTGGCTAGACATGGTAGTCAAGCTGAGAATACAGTGATTGTAGAGAATTTTTTTAAGGATTCATTTGAGACGTTTCAACGGTGCCTATTTGTTCATCAAGAGCGCAAATTCAAGATTTAAAATCTTCATAGAATGATCCCCTTGATTGATCCCCTTGATTGATCCCCTTGAATGATCCCCTTGATTAATCCCCTTGATTGGTATCTAGCGCATAGGATCCCTTTTCTCTGCGTTAGTAAGTGCCTCGTCCGGAGAGTGCTCTGTTACCACAATCATCTCATTCGTCTCAATATTGGATTCTTTTCCGTCTTTTCCGTCTTCAACAATCGTATAGGTCTCTTCAACACTAGACATTAGACATCTTTTAGAAATTAAGTTATTCTATAATATTTGTTATTACCGATTACAAAAGCTTCTAAAATAACCTCTCTTGTGATATAAACCTACCTATCAGGATTTAGGAATATCAGGAAAGGTTTAAAACCTACTTATCAGGAATATCAGGAAAAGGTTTAAAACCTACTTATTAGGACTATCTGGAAAAGGTTTAAAACTTACTTATCAGGAATATCTGGAAAAGATTTAAAACCTACTTATCAGGAATATCTGGAAAATGTTTAAAACCTATTTATCATGATTATCTGGAAAAGGTTTTATCAGGAATGTCTGGAAAAGGTTTAAGACATACTTATCAGGAATGTCTGGCAAAGGTTTAAAACCTACTTATCAGGAATGTCTGGCAAAGGTTTAAAACCTGCTTGTTAGGAATATCCGGAAAAGGTTTAAACCCTATTTATCATGATTATCTGGAAAAGGTTTTAAACCTACTTATCAGAATATCTGGAAAAGGTTTAAACCTACTTTTCAGGAATATCTGGAAAAGGTTTAAACTCTATTTATCATGATTACCTGGAAAAGGTTTAAAACCTACTTATCAGGAATATCTGGAAAAGGTTTAAAACCTACTTATCAGGAATATCTGGAAAAGGTTTAAAACCTACTTATCAGAATATCTGGAAAAGGTTTAAAACCTACTTATCAGGAATATCTGGACAAGGTTTAAAACCTACTTATCAGAAATATCTGGAAAAGGTTTAAAACCTACTTATCAGAATATCTGGAGAAGGGTTTAAACCTACTTATAAGGAATATCTGGAAAAGGGTTTAAAACCTACTTATAAGGAATATTTGGAAAAGGTTTAAACCTACTTATAAGGAATAAAAGGTTTAAACCTACTTATAAGGAATATCTGGAAAAGGTTTAAACCTATTTATGAGGAATATCTGGAAAAGGTTTAAACCTACTTATAAGGAATATCTGGAAAAGGTTTAAACCTACTTATCAGGAATATCTGGAAAAGGTTTAAAACCTACTTATCAGGAATATCTGGAAAAGGTTGGCCCCAGAATGCATCCTTTCGGAGCTCCGGAGGGGATTCTGTCTCATCAACCAAGCTCAAGGCAACTACATGAATAGAAAGGTGTTTGAAATCATTTTTTTAACGTTTATTTTTTTCCAAATTTGAATTTTTATCAATATATATCAAATTAATTAGATACTGGTCGAGGAAATTAAACAGGGGGGCAACTGGTTTTTTAAAATCTATATAATAAAACAATACATTAGTATATATATATGTTGCCTATAGCCGGCCAAACGGCTGGACCAAATGGGCTGAAACTGTTTGTGGACACTCATGGGTGGCCGGAGGGTGTTATAGGCTAAAAAAATCAAAAAAAAATTCTCAACATTTTTTTTTTTATTTTTCCACGGGCAACGCCGGGCTCTTCAGCTAGTTATAAATATAAATAAATTAGTCATATTGAAAGCAAAAGCTAACCTTTAACATGTCTGTTAAACAGAACATTTAGCTCAAAATCATCATCATCTTCACCAAAAGGATTATACAGGGTCTCTGCAACCCTTTAAGTAAAATTGTATTTTTTACTACATTTTTTTGTCTGTTTATTTATTTAACAATTTATTTCTTTTCCTTTTGTTCAGTGAATCCCAGATATAAGAATACATAGACCGTCATAAGTTTTTTGATAATTAAGAAACTTCTTTTTATTTTTTATTCAAGGCAAATTAATATTGCGAACGAAAAACCCCTAAATCTTGAAAAGACGACTCTAGTGTTCTATCTGTATTGTTATTAATCTATGTATTTACTGATTATTTTTTGATTTGTAAATACATATTTTATTTAAAAAGTAACAAGTTTTAAAACCTGAGCCAACCAAAATAGAAGAGGAACTTGATTGTTGTAAAGATAGGATACCATAAATCCAATTCATCTCCAGGTTTTCTAAACAAATTCAAATACAAATAAGATCAACCTATTCTGATTAGATAACCTAAAAAAGCACTTTTTGCAACAACTTCTCTGTCCGAAAGCTATGGAAAACTTTTATTAACATAAAACTGTGAAATAGGAAGCCAATGGTCATACTCAAAGGAACTGTAAGCGTAATTTCAAGTAAACCTCTATGCCCAATTCACAACGGTACCCTTAAAAGCTTTGTCTGATCAAGTATGAATTAGAATTCCATGTTTTTAATTATTTTGTTTAGTTGTTTGCTTTGCAAAAGTGACTTGCTCATTTCTTTGTTATATATTTATTATATTTCTTTATTACAAATTTTAGGATTAAACACATTTCGAATCTAAAAAAATGCGTTATCTTCTATTTTTAAAAATCAGATTAAGGTTTCAAGGGTACCATTGTAAATCCGGCATTGCCATCTTTGTATGGAGGGTCCTTTAAAATCACGCTTTATACAGTTCAGCTCTAAGTTATGATTTTAAACACAGGGTGTCCCAAGAAACAAGACAGTTGGTGAGTAGTTTAGAATGTCTTCTTTCATATTTTTTTTAAGTCGTTTGATACCATAGAAAATAATAAAAATATTTTAAAGGGAGTGACCGGCTATGTAAGGTAGTTAAACTGAGGACGCAGTGTTGTGGAAAACTTCTTTAGGATTCATTTGAGACATATTTCACATTTTAAAGATCTGTAAATCCTGAGTTTGAGCGCAAATTCGACGTTAAAAACTCCTGATTTGGGGGTGGATACGCTTTCAGAATTAGTTTTTTTAAATTATTAATTAACGACGACATAAAATGTAAAAATATTCTACAATTCTGAAAGCGTATCCACCCCAAGCGTATCCACCCCCAAATCAGGAGTTTTGAACGTCGAATTTGCGCTCAAACTCAGGATTTACAGATCTTTAAAAAGTGAAATATGTCTCAAATGAATCCTAAAGAAGTTTTCGACAACACTGCATACTCAGTTCAACTACCTTACATAGACGGTCACTCCCTTTAAGGAAGTCATATATTATAGTATTTATTTTATTATGTTTGAGGACAAGATTACTTTAACGAAATAGACTGCAAACAGTCTTTAATATTTCATACAATACATAGAAGAAGACATTCAAAACTATTCACCAACTGTCATGTTTCGTGGGACACCCTGTAGTATAATTAACATGAAAGGAGGATATTGTGCAGTGTCCAGTGTTTCACTAAATAAGTTAATTTTCAATTTCCAGTTACTATGTAATGCAACTATTTGTTCTGTAACAAAAACAAATAAACGAAAGTGCTTGAATGTCGTCTTCCTAGTCTACAGTATTATGGGTCTCACTACAGTTAAATAATCTTTTACCTGTAGATTTTCCATTGTTCACCGACTAGAGCAACTATAAAATATATATACACTGCCAGAGTAACCACCTAATAATAATAATAAAAATAATGATATTAGAGAGAAAAATAAAGGTAATAGTAATAATAATAATGCTATTGATAATTGTGGCAGTTTATGTGGGGGAAACACACTACACACTGTAATTTAAATCTAAAAACAAACGCGTTGCAGTATTAAAATGTACATGTACAGGGCTACAAAAAAGTGTAACTGATTAGTAATGTAGTAAAGTGTTTTGTAAATATTTGTTCAACCAGCCGTACCTGTGTGTAAACTAGAGGTGCTGGGATGTGTCCGTACCTGTTTGTACACTAGAGGTACTGGGATGTGTCCGTACCTGAGTGTGCACTAGAGGTACTGGGATGTGTCCGTACCTGAGTGTACACTACAGGCATTGGGATGTGTCCGTATCTAAGTGTACACTAGAGGTATTGGGATGTGTCCGTACCTGAGTGTACACTAGAGGTACTGGGATGTGTCTGTACCTGAGTGTACACTAGAGGTACTGGGATGTGTCCGTACCTGAGTGTACACTAGAGGTACTGGGATGTGTCCGTACCTGTGTGTACACTAGAGGTACTGGGATGTGTCCGTATGCTGAAACATCGTTGAGTTTTGATCTGGAAACATACCCAACCTTAATTATGCTGAAGAGAAAAAAAACTTAGAACTGGACTCTTCCAAGTCCAAAGATAATATATATATAGATATGCAGGCAGGTATAAATTTTGAGGTCTTGAGAAAAAGTGCGATCAGCACCATCTCTGTCGTACGCATGGCATTTTATCCTCTGGATTGTTGCTAATTTATCACTTTGTTTATGCGTGATAACACTAAATGCGTACTATAGTATCAACAATGTATACTGCATATTGTACTTAATGAAACAAATTAATCAATGCAAATAAATTACCCGACTAAATCTATATTTAGACCTACCTCCGGTCATTGGATTTTGACTTCTTACAACTCTTTGGAAAGCCTTTAACAAAAGAAAGCCGATTTAACAACTTTTGCAAAGAAATTCTGCAAATATTTAAATTTGCCGAGGCAATGGCTTTTAAAAACTTAATTCAGAATTAAAATATAAAAAAAATCCACTACACTGCAAAATTTCTGTATTTTATGTTCATTGGACTGTTAAAAATCAAAATTTGAGCCTGACAGCCATCTACATTTTTAGAAAAAGGTGTCTTCAAAGTTCACCTTGTCTAAAACATTTAAATCTTTTTCTCTCTGACTGCATTACATAATCAAAACGCGTACTGTATGTTTGTGTTACCTTGAAATTTAATTTGATTGGTCAAACAGGTCCAGATAGCAACACTTGAACTATACAGGATGCAATACGCGTACTGTATGTTTATATAACACAAATGCGTATTTCCTACAGATGGCAGCAAGGGGAGAAAAGAATATAGAAAGTAATCAATTTGCTATAGATGTCTCTCATTGCACTTTATCTCAGAGGGACAAAAATTAGTTGTCTGCTACAAGCAATTTAGGAAGAAGGTTTCTACCTGCCTGCATATCTATATATATATTATCTTTGTCCAAGTCTTAACGTTTGCTATAGAGGGGGTCTGTCTTAGTATCAAAATTAACCAAAATCAACATATCACGGGCAGCCGTAGTACATTTGAAGTTCCGAGCCTGATCAACCTTCCCGGACCTAGCTCTATGGACAGGACTAGCCGGTGCAACAAGGTTGACGCGGTCAGACTTTATGCTTCATATAGGTTGAATTACTTTTACTAAAGGGGCAGAGGTGCGTGATGTTTGACCGATGGAATAACGAGAAAATCAGGCAAAACAGATTTAATAAATACTTTCAAGTCAAAACCAACAATATTCTTTTATTTTTTGGACAAATACGCATATGGATCAAGTTTAGCTAAATCCGAACCATTTTTGGAGATTAATTACTTTAAAAATCAAAACTTCAGATTAACGATTAATATATGAGACTATAAAGCTAATAAACCACCGAATCTGTTTTGAAGGAACTTGGACCTAAAGCAAACCGACCCGAACCTAGTCCAAAAACGAACCTAGAGCAAAAGAAAAAAAATTGGTCATTTGAAAGGAAATATCAATGCGGAGGGGATTTATGTTTTTATTATTTTTAATGTTTTTTTTATGTAATTTCTAAGAGTTAGGGAAGTGGTAAGGCCCCTAGGTCGAATTTTGGCCATAGGTTTCGTTATTTAAAAAAATATGTTTTTAAAAACCCAGAATAATGGCCGTAACACTCAGGCCAGATATTATCCCAACCTAACCTAACCCACAATATAGATAACAAACGTATAGTTTATAACTTTATATATGTATGGATAGTGTTAATGGGGCCTCTGATAGATAACTAGAACTGATCACCTCACTTAATGATTGGATTTGAGAGTTAGTATAACGGATGAAACGTTTTTGAAAATAATTTTTCTCTTATGAAATAAAAAAAAACATTTATAAAATGCAAGTTTAGGAGTCTAGGTTCCTGAATATATTGATTTGTGTAATAATCTGAACATATCCTGGAGCACTGGTAATATATCCGTCCTGCTGTGCCTTGTGAACTAAAATATATTGATTTGTGTAATAATCTGAACGTATCCTGGAGCACTGGTAATATATCCGTCCTGCTGGGCCTTGTGAACTAAAATATATTGATTTGTGTAATAATCTGAACATATCCTGGAGCACTGGTAATATATCCGTCCTGTTGGGCCTTGTGAACTAAAATATATTGATTTGTGTAATAATCTGAACATATCCTGGAGCACTGGTAATATATCCGTCCTGGTGGGCCTTTTGAACTAAAAAGAAATAAATAATAATCATAAACTTGTTTACAATTTCCAAAATGAAGATGTCAAACATCACGATGTTTGCTTTATTATATATACAGGGTGTCCCAAAAAACATGGGAATTCAGTGACGAATAGTATATCGTCTTTGCTATGAATTAGCATTGTAATACCTAATTTCAAAAGCCATAATATTATTATGTCTGCTAAAGTTTATTTTATGAAAAGGGTAAAAGACTGTAAAGATGTGTCTATAATGTCTCTGCAAGATAAACAGTGAAGACGGACAAGTTTTCTCTGTTTGTATACTGCAATTTTCTTGTTTTACTAAGTACAACCGTATGCAGTCAAAACATAAACAAACAAAATGTAAACATAGCAGACGAAACTCTTACAGATTAAAGCTTTCTCAGTTGGTATCACTATACTAAATCAAAGAATTTTTAAAAAAGACGATATCGAATTCGTCACTGAATTCCCATGTTTTTTGGGACACCCTGTACATAATATATACATAATGTATATATAATATATATATATGTATATATATTGTATAATGTATTCATAATGTATATATAATGTATTGTATACATAATTGTTAACACAAATTCGAAATATAAGGAAGACGATTTTACCGACTCAATTGCCGTCAACTATTCTCAAAATGTGTGTATACACACGATCCATTTCCGCCATGAAGCACACACATGTAACCCTCGCTCCTTCGTTCCCCGCCTCACCCTCTACACACCCCAGCCCTCAGTCAGGTTAGGAGAGTTGGGCTGGTAACAGCTCCGACACAGGGAGCCTCTTGACTCCTTCATGCTGATGATGCAGATACTGAGCTAACAGCAGGCGTGCTTATACCTCTGATCTCCCTATTAACTTCTTGAGAAGCTTACTTAGGAAACTTGTGCCCGGCTCCAACCGAAGTTTCCGCTATCTCGAGTTGCATTGCCTTAGTTCCATTGATAAGCCCTGTTGTCCCAGTTCCTGTTGATCTGCTCCACCAACATGAAGCTCTACAACACTCCAATGAAGTGCCATCAAATATCCATCATTAATTCCTTTGTTAATTTCTAAATCAACCAATTTTAACTCCGCTTTATATGCAAATATTTCAAAACTTTCGTTTTTTAAATAAATGTTAGAAATATCCATTTGGATCTCTTTATTTTATTATAGTGACTTTTTAAAGTCAACAATAATATATATAATGTATACAATACATCTATATAATAAAAGAAGACATTCGTATATATATATGTTGCGTATAGCCGGCCAAACGGCTGGACTGATTGGGCTGAAAAAATTGTTGTGGACACTCATGGGTTATAGGCTAAAAAAATCGATTTTTTTCTCAATTAAAAAAGTAAATATTTATACATATAATAAAATTTATCAAAAAGTTGAATCTATTTATATAAAAAGTTGTAGAATCTATAGAGATATAATATTTAACAATTACCAATCTCCAAACTCCATTGAAGAGGCATTGCCCAGTTAGATGCGTACATATCCCAGTTATCCTCATCTCCAATCCTGTACATAGCATTATATTATGTACAAAATGCAGAGTACAGTTAGATGCGTACATATCTCAGTTATCCTCATCTGTAATCCTGTCAAGTACATCATATTATGTACAGTTAGATGCGTCCCAGTTATCAAATCTTCTCTAAATCTGTGAATTCAGGATATGTATACACAATACACATGCGTCTAATTTTCAGATAATATAATAATATTAGATAATTTAAACAAGGAATTAAATTTAACCAAATGCATTACAAAACTCATCAAATTCTCCATTAAAAGTCAATATTTGGCATTCATAAACAAGTTTTAAAGAAATAATAAACTTTTACATTTAAAAAGAATAACTAAACAAATAAACATCTAAAGTTTGTACTGCAAAAACGGTGTGAACGGTTGTCTCTATTAATCTTATGAATGTTACCTGTCTGCTTCCTCTTGTCTAACCAGCCCGGAGTTTACAACTTCCTTCATGGTTGGAAATCTCTTCCTTAATCTCACACTTAATCTCCGGATACACAGGATATACGAGAGTAAAGTATACCTGGAGATAA